TTTTATAGCTTGAACTGTTGGCTTAAAATACGAGGTATATAAATTTAGCATTATTGAGCTCGGCCGGAACAGAACATTGTGTGTTGACCTCGTATCACCCTTTCAATTCATATAGTGGTAAGACAGTGACAATTTATACCTTGATGCAGTTTAGGGTTTCGTTCGGGTTATGTGTTCCTTTTACCTAGTCGGTTGTGTTTCATGAATGTCCACAAACATTTGCTGGTCTTGTCTTCGTTGCTTAAGTGGGATTTTACCCTTGCCGCATAGGCACCTATAAATGCTATGTGTGATGCAGAACCACTTCTTCTGATGCAAGGGGGCGGTGGGGTAGCCTAGTGGTTAAAGCGTTGGCCCGTCACGCCGAAGACCCGGGTTCGAATCCCCACATGGGCACAATGTGTGAAGCCAATTTCTGGTGTCCCCCGCCGTGATGTTGCTGGAATATTGCTAAAAGCGGCGTAAAACCAAACTCAGTCAGTCAGTCAGTCTTCTGATGCAATATATCGAGAATACAACACGAGGTCTCATTAGATACGAATCATACGAAAAAGAGTTTCCTAAAATTCGTATGTAATGAGACCGAGTGTGGTATTTTATTTATTACCCACGTCTTGCATGCATTAAATTGACAAAATAGCGTATTTTTGTTATTGTTATGGTTTCAAACCGAAACCTGTTTCATAAAGAGGTTGCGGAAGAATTTGTTCTGTAGTACACTTTTGCATGACGTCACACTGTATTGACGTCACTACACCATTCTCGTCTGTCCCCTTGGTAACCGACGTCATGACGCATGTCAGTTGTCATCGCTTCTCGTACAGCCTCTTACAGCAAACTACTCCGTAGCACCCCGTTTCTTGGTTTGCAGTTGCTTCACTCGGCTAACATCACTGGTGGAAACATTGCGTTTAAGTTTTTCTACGGATATAATGTCTCAGTTCGACTCACAACTAAACAGCGACACGGCAACGTTCGCAATGTTTACATTCCCACAATGCATATAAGTTGTAGAATGAATGAATTCACGTGTTTGTTGAGAATGAACAAGTAGTTCCGTCACAACGTGACCTAACTGGGAGCACACTCCGGCACAGCGATGACGATGCTGGCTTGCCGCATGGAACTCTGGGTAGGAGAGTGAACTGAGAGGCCATCGGTTATCCAATCAAATCGTTAGAATCTCAGGTCAACGCGATACGACACAGGTCAACGCGATACGACACTCGTGTGACGTATGAGATTAGTATCCAACTACCCATACGTTGACCACGTGGGTAATAAAGGGTTTTATCCTCAGGTAGTAGTGCCCTTACATGTTGGTTCCCAAGTTAACAACCCGTGAATGTCCGAGTTAGAATATTGATCTTCAGTAACCCATGCTTGCCGTAAGAGGCGACTAACAGGATCGGGGGGTCAGGCTCGCTGACTTGGTTGACACATATCATCGGTTCCCTATTGCGCAGACCAATGCTCATGCTGTTGATCACTGGATTGTCTGGTCCAGACTCGATTATTTACCGACCGCCGCCATATAGCTGAAATATTGCTGAGTGTGGCGTAAATCTAAACTCACTCACTCACTCCCAGGTTAACAGTAAAAGTTAACCTGAAACCAGTCCGTAAAAGACCCTTGTGTGAAACAAGCAAACAACAAAGAGATGGGACAATTGTATTCTAAAATAAATTTCCGAGCACAGGAAGCTGAATACATCAACCCCAGTTCTGCACCAAATGGCACCTACTGGAAAATATCTGTACACACAATAAGCATAAGTCATGGAGACAAAAAAAAACAGCACTAAATACCTACACTTGTGGTCAGTTTTAATTACTGGATAGATGTGCTTTTAAAAACATAAACATCTTACACTATTTCTAAGATGCCTAGCGGTTAGAACAATCGAAAAAAAATACATTATCAGACAATAAAGGTATAGTTTTTTGATGACGTAACAATTGAATGACGTTCTCCCGTCACTGCGCCATTCTAGTGTGCCCCCTCGTAATCGAACCATTTTACATTACGTCACAAAGTCAGCGACGTCACGATGCATGTCAGTTGTCATCGCCTCGTACGGCCTCCTACAGTAAACTACACCGTTGCATCCAGTTTCTTGGTTTGCTGTTGCTTCACGCAGCTAACATCACTGGTGGAAACATTACGTTTATGTTTTACGACGGTTAAAATGTGTCATTTCGACTCACAAGTTTTCAGCGACGCGGTAACGTTCGTAATGTTTACATTCCCACAATGCAATTGTGGAATGTCGCTTGACTACTCAACTTCCTCTGGATGTACTGATCTAAACTTACGCTGGTAGTAGAAATGCAACGTTCATATTGCCCCATATGGTTTACGTTAATGACAGATGTAATTAAAATAATTCAGAGAAGATATTTAATCCAAACGTAAACCGTCATCAAACTGTTATCATTTGTTTTTTTCTGGTAACGTTCGTCTTAACGTAGGGGGCAGACACATCAATAGAACAGCGCGCCAGTTAGCCCTGTGCGAGGATTCTTAATTTAGGTCACCGACACCGTCGTTTGTTTTCTGCCGTAAATTAATCGTAATTATCTTTAGAAAGTATTAAATTTGGCATCTTAGAAAAGAAATACACTTCGCCCCTACCACCATGTATAGTGTAATAAAACACACTTTCGCCCAGAACTATTATAACGTTAAAGCACTCGGACGCAAGCGTCCTCGTGCTTTAACTATAATAGTTCAGGGCAAAAGTGTGTTTTATTACACTATACATGGTGGTAGAGCGAAGTGTATTTCTTAATTCATCCAAGCTCAGCTGTCACATGTCTCTATCTCTTCAGTTGTTTATAACTGTACTCGCCCAGGGAGCATGTGATTCTGAGTTAGCGTAGTGGAATCTGGACGCCTTGTCACTTAGGTTGAGTGTCAAGAGTTAGCTCCCCTAAAAACACTCCAGAAGATTCGCAAACCGACGCGGTCTGGGTGTATGGCCATTCAATTGTGTTGTCCTGTAGTACCATCGAGGACTCTTTCTAAATATATAATAAGTTTAGACAGATCACCCACCCAACTGTACAGTGTTACACACTTGGAACATACGTCACAATAAATAACACTGCCACAAAATGGCAGTTCTTCCCTTGCCTACGAATGACTTGAACAAAAGATTGGGAAGCACACTCACCAAACTGCACACCACAGGAAACATGTAATATACATACATAGTATAATACCTTATTGAAACATCCACCTGCTAGTAATAATCGTTCTTTCTCGATGTACACAACTTGGCCGTTAGTAGAACACTCAGGAGATAAGGTCAGTGTAACAGTTACCTGTCATGACAAAGGGATTTAGCCATTTTACGTGCGCATCAGTGATTCGGATATAGTGAAACCTGGGAATATTCTGTTTACGAATGTCTAGTTGCTGTTTGGAATCAGACAGGAATGTTTCGGCATTTTCTGTAAATAGTGTCAAGTTGAGAAACGTTTGTGCAGAGTAAGCATATATAGTTATAGATATCGTCCATATTTTGTGCAACAACATTTCTATAATTATGGGTATTTTATGCACACTAGTGTTTCAATCTTGTTACACGCAGCACATGGTACACATATGGTACCCTTTAGACCGAGGATAAGCATGCGAATGACACGGTTTCACACCTCGGATTACTCTTAACGGTGTTTTAATACGTTTCCACCCTCTTTGACTGAATGTACTTAAGAATGTTTAAACGAATTTGTTCAGAACTAAGCTCTGCCAGCCAATGTCAATGCCAGACAAAATGCTGGGTGTATGGAGCGTGGTAGAGGTTATGGTATCATTGGACAACGGAGCGGCTAGTTTATCCTTGACAAATGAAGCTGAAGAATCTGTGCTGATATCTGCTGGACTTGCACAGTATCCGATTTGGACTGTTTAATAATGAAGAAGAATGTAGCCACAATAGCAATATCAATTGTTTCTCATTATTTTGTGGAATTATTACATATTTTTATGTAAACCTCAAGCAAGTTTTCTTTACAAAGGCTGTATGCATTATGAAGAGACAGTATAATGAACCTGGCACTTTGACGGCGCTTTAGGTTTAGTTTGCCATGACACTAGACGCACACCTTGCATGAAGCATTTAAATAAATATGAACTATGTTCATTACTTCTGCAAACACCCAGTGATTGGACAAAAGTCAGCGAAGTGTGTGTGTTGTGGCTGTTGAATTAAAGATCGAAACACTATGGTAATGGTTTATATTTATTCAAGTTTAAATGTTTTTATTTAAAATAGACGAATTTGCGGCAACCGGTATTAGTGACTTTACATTAGCATCGTAAAGTGTAAGCACTTGCTTTTCTTGTCAAACATCGAGAGCGCTGAGGAAAGATGTCGTGCCAGCTTAGTTTGAAAAGTAGAAATTTGACCAGGAAGACTTGCATGCCCACGTGAAGGCATCTTTCACATGTGTTCACAAGAGAGACTTCCCTGTATAACGTGTGTACAGAGAAGAACCTCTGTTTGTATTTTCCTATGACGGTTACACCTTCTCAGTGCAGTATCGATTCTAAATCGTCCGTGAGTCCAACCAGCGTCCGTGAGTCCAACCAGCGTCCGTGATTCCAACCAGCGCTCCTGCCCACTCAGCCAGCGCAGCCTCCCGATGAGACTCACACCCCAAAAGTAGTAGAAGCTGTACTTTTCTGAGAAAGTGTGATCCCAAATATATTGCATGTTACATTTTACCACTTTCTAAATGGTAATGTGTAGTCATGCTCCTGTTTTCTCTTTGAAGAACTGCGATGAGTAGCCTGTCAAAGTTCATTAATTCAACGTCAAGGCAACATCAGTTTGAAATGGCGAATGTAATTGTTTTCAATGTGTGTAATGGCCGGAATGTACAAGAGTAATGTCAGAGGTATTTTCTGAAACCCTTTCCGACCCACGTCTCCAAACCGCTATAAACCTGTCATTATCTTAATGGCTGCTGATGAAAGATGCAGTATTTAGTATGCTTCTCCTTCTCCCCAGGGCGTGTTATCTGCAGTAGATAAACCACCGACTCCTAGATGTAAAACGGGGAGTACTCCCCCTGTCACTGTCGCTGGCTATTCCTCCCACGAGCTAGCTCCGAGACCGATGTTTACATTGTGGTGCCTGTGGAAGCTGCAGCATCTCTAGGTCATTCACCGTTATACACCATCATGGCAGCCGACTACAGTATCGTCACTGGCTACATCAAGACGTTCAGTGTCGCCGACTACGTGGTATTTGCATTGACTTTGGCAGTATCTGCAGCAATAGGAGTCTTCGTGGCCATCAGAGACCGCAACAACGTCTCCACCGGAGAGTTCCATTTCGGTGGAAGGAAAATGCATGTGATACCTGTAGCTATGTCTTTGCTTGTGACGTTTCTCTCGGCATTGACTCTGCTGGGAACTCCAGCCGAAGTGTACAACTACAACACGATGTTCTGGTGGATATGTCTGGGATATCTTGTGTCAGTCGCAGGGGCTACGTGGATTTTCATACCTTTTTTCTACGAACTTGGGAATACAAGTATTTTTGAGGTATGTAATGCATTACGTTTTCTGTACCTTTGACAATGGAAGCTGGTGTCAAGCGGTGTTAATGTAACTCGGTCTAACTCTGCATCACAGTCACCTCTTGAAGTATGGTGTATTTCGTCTAACATTTGGACACAAATGAGGAACGGGTTGGTGTGTATTTTGCAATATAATAACAACATTTAATTACATATACTGCTATTACAGCTGAAGGGGTCGTTGTCGGCACGGGTACTACAGATGTGTACCCCAGGTACGTTTGTGTATACAGATACGTACCCTAGCCAAAATCAGAATACAGAAACATACCCTTGGACGATTCCATACTGCATTGTGGAGTTTTCTTCACCGGAACTGTCATACTGTTGTATTAGATGCATTTGATATCGTTATATAAGAGCATACACGGTATAACGAATATTTCACGGTGCACAAGGTACACCACTCGCAATCAGCTGAACGGGAACAACTACATACGGTTTTGGTTTTGGGTTGTGGAATATGGACTCGTCCGTCGTTTAGGGTACCGGCTACGTTTCTGTAGTTTGTCTTTGTTTAGGGTACATGTCTGTATACAGAAACGTACCTGGGGTACATATCTGTAGTACCTGTGCCGACAACGACACCTTCAGCGCTATTACACAAACCTCAAATCTAAAACTGAAACAAACGAGCGATTGATTAAAGGAACTGTACACAGCCGTATCAACGATCAATTACCAAAGATGTTCAACAACAACAAATTCCCTCCTTGGTAACTACGCCTCCGCTGCCGTCCTACAGTTAGACGTTTTCTGGCAGTGACAATTTCGTACATCAATGTTTATGTGTAGTCCATTACCACTGGCCCGGTACCACGCTGGGGAAGCGTGTCGCCGGGTCTGCCCGCACCGCTCGTGGGTATCAGGTAACATAAGCTGCAGACTGTGCCGTGTAGCTCGTGGGAAAGTTGAAATTCTCTCAAACTGATGTCACAGTCGCGGTGGAAGACGTTAATCAAGAGTTAATCAGTAAACCAGCAGAGACCCTGCGTCATTAGCGTCGCCCGATAACGCCGTCACTGTAGCCTCTCTGGTTGGAGTGACACGTATGTTGTACATCGTTAAACAACAGTATTAATGTAGTCAGAGACCATATAATAATACATAATAATCTATTATATCGTCTCTGATGTAGTGTATCAGGGGCGGATCTACACCACCACCACCACTACAGCTGCAACAGCTAGTGAGGTCAGAGACCATATAGAATATAGTAAGAATATAGTCTCAGGGCTCCATTTCAATATAGTTTTTATTTTTTTTACTATGAGCTTTTTTCTGTAAAATACGTTCATTTCAGAGACTACTTGTTAGTGTAGTGGTATGACGTATCTTGGACTTGGCAAGCTCCACACTGCACGTTGCATATAGTAAATTGCACATGATATACTGTATGCTGCACGTTGCATATAGTAAATTGCACATGATATACTGTATGCTGCACGTTGCATATAGTATCTTGCACATCATATACTGTATGCTGCATATAGTATAATGCACGTGATATTCTGTATGTTGCATGTGGGGTCCGGTGATATGCACATGATATACTGTATGTTGCATGTATTATACGGTATCTTGAACATGGTAGGCCTATACTGCATACTGCATGTGGGGTCCGGTGATATGCACATGATATACTGCATACTGCATGCTGGGTCCGGTGATATGTACATGATATGCAATATATATAAGGATGTGGTGTATTGTTACATTAGGTATACTCCATACTGCGTATGGTATACGGTGGTTTGGAAGCGTCTATACTTCTTGCTTTGTTTATTTGGTGGAAAGGAATTCGATTCAGAGACTGTATTACTATTTTGTCTATGATAATGCGTACAAACCTGGTAATGCACATTCAAGTGCGTCCCAGGAACTGTAAAAGATAAACTCAAGCAATAAACACTGTATAGACAGATGGGGTGAGAGTGCATTGTGTGTCAGGTATACATATACAACTGAATACGGTCGACTTTGGATATGGCGGTTCTATCAAGACAGACAGAAAACAAAGACATATTGTCTTTGGGCAACAATGGCGTTGATCAGTGGGTCAAGTCAAAGAGGTTAATTGTACGATAAATAGATAGATAGATCAACTGTTACACACTTTCGGCTACTGGCTGTTTCATTTATAGCAGGGATACTCTACAACATCTATATATAGTCTCCCTGTTTATAGTAACGCCTCAATAAGTTAACTTGTTGAGGCGTCATGCTGGTACATTAAAACATGTTGTACCAGGGAGGATTCGCTGGCTTACACCCAAATTCAAGTTGTACCATGTTACCCCACGTTGTGTTGCAGTACCTGGAGATCCGCTTCGGGAGGGGCATGCGGCTGGCAGGTTCCCTCACCTTTATTCTACAAACGGTAACGAGGTGAAGGTGGAGTGAGTGAGAGTGCTTGTTTCGGGGAATGTGTGTGTGTGTGTGAGTGCGTGTGCGTGCGTGCGTGCGTGCATGCGTGTGTGTGTGTGTGCGTGCGTGCGTGCGTGCGTGCGTGTGAGGTTTAACGCCGAAATATCACGGCGGGGGACATCAGTAATGGGCTCCCTACACTGTACTCATGTGGGGAATCGAACCCGGGTCTTAGGCGTGACGATCGAACGCTTTAATCACTACCGCCCCTTGTGTTGGTTGGTTAGGCGTGGGGGTGCGCACGGCGAGTTGTTAGGAGGTGCATCGGTTGTTTAAAGATTCATTTGCGATTAAGAAATTGTGTATTTTCTGGCAAAAAGTGAAGTCAGCCATTGGATCCATCTTCTGGAAAACAACCCACCAGGACATCATCTCTTCTTCTTCTTTCTCTAGGTTATCCTTATGGGTCATTAGGTCACGTGCAGTCAGTTGTACACCTAGTTATATATATTGGCACACAAACCTGGTCTCTTGCAAATCTAAAACGGTTGTCTAATTTCAGTATAACAGAGAGTATTGTTTGAAGGATGTTCATCGGCTAACCTTCTTATCATCTGGGCTACACGACCGACACCGCCCAAAGATAACATCATCATAAAACTATTCTACATGTGATTTGATCCAGTGAGCCTCTGTTCCAGATGATCTACATGTCCTTCTTCATCACCTGACATTAACAAGTCCACTTCATGTACCATCTTACTACATGTCCTCTTCATCACCGACATTAACGTCATGTACCATCTCACTACATGTTCTCTTCATCACCGACATTAACGCTATATCATCTTACTACATGTCCTCTTCATCACCGACATTAACGTCATCTACCTTCTCACTACATCTCCTCTACATCACTGACATTAACGTCATGTACCATTTCACTACATGTCCTCTTCATCACCGACATAAACATCATGTACCATCTCACGTCATGTCCTCTTCATCACCGACATTAACATCATGCACCATCTCACGTCATGTTCTCTTCATCACCGACATTAACATCATGTACCATCTCACTACATGTTTTCTTCATCACCGACATTAGTATCATGTACCATCTCACTACATGTCCTCTTCATCACCGACATTAACGTCATGTACCATCTCACTACATGTTTTCTTCATCACCGACATTAACATCATGTACCATCTCACTACATGCCCTCTTCATCACCGACATTAACGTCATGTACCATCTCACTACATGTCCTCTTCATCACCGACATTAACGTCATGTACCATCTGACTACATGTCCTCTTCATCACCGACATTAACATCATGTACCATCTCACTACATGTCCTCTTCATCACTGACATTAACGTCTTGTACCATCTCACTACTTGCCATGTTATTCAGTGAGAAACAGACCCGTGAAATAGGTCTTCAGCAACCCATGCTTGCCACAAAAGGCGACTATGCTTGTCGTAAGAGGCGACTAACGGGATCGGGTGGTCAGGCTCGCTGACGTGGTTGACACATGTCATCGGTTCCCAATTGTGCAGATCGATGTTCATGATGTTGATCACTGGATTGTCTGGTCCAGACTCGATTAATTACAGACCGCCGCCATATAGCTGGAATATTGCTGAGTGCGGTGTAAAACTAAACTCACTCACTCAGTGAGAAACAAGCATCATATAGTATATAGTAAGGCAACCTTGACAACCAATGTTAACCCAGGTTTGAGAACTACACAATAACCTACTCTACCACATGGTATTAGGATCTTTGAATCATTGGCTGTTTCAGTGACTGGGTTCGACTTGTGGGGGTCGGTGATTGCTGTGGGCGTGGTGTCTACAATGTACACAGCACTGGTACGTACTTCAGCATGGTTTACTTAAAATCATTTTGTCTTGGGGTTTTTCCCCGGATTTTCAGTAAAAGTGATGTTACTAAATGAAAAATATTATTTATAATTACAAATGTTTGGCGGGATAAATTTAGTATAACTTCCAAAGAAATCTTCAGCCTAAAGTGTTCTATAGTTTATTATTTGAGAGATCCAAAATATTGCTATTTTCTGCCCTTCCTGATGCTGTAGCTTTGTCCACCAGGGCGGGATGAAGGCCGTGTTGTGGACCGACACCTTCCAGGCCGGGATCATGTTTCTCGGGCTCGTCGCGGTCCTCATACGGGGATCCAGCGTCGTGGGGGGATTCGGGAACGCCTGGTCCATAGCGAACGATCGGTCCAGAGTCGTCTTTGACGAGTAGGTCGAGGATTGTAATCAAGGATGTAATGAAATCGAGGATGTAATGAAATATTGTTGACATCGCCAGAAACCTTCTAAAAGCAGAGCCAATAGTCACGTGACATTGAAACAACTATATACATGCTAGTATCTAAACCGGCAACGTAATACTATGCTTATTGTCCTAATGTGAACAGGTGTTGCCAACATGGGTACTGGTCACAACATTCCGGATATAATGACGTCATTCAGTATGAGAACTATGACAATTCGTGTAATCATACACCAGTGGTTCTGTACGCTGTCGGAAATAGAACTGAATGTATACTGTTGTCTTTAAACGTTTGTTTACCAATTATTACCAACTGATAAAGATATTTGCTACCATCATTACAATTAACAGAAGAGAAATCGAGGCCACATTAAAAGCCTGAAATACTATATGTACTAAACCATTAACGGGCAGCACTTACAACACAGCCTGGCAATGCAATAAGTGGAATACTGGAGTAAAACAACAAACACATCAACATGCACCAGTATGTTAATTAAAGAGAGGAAATAAGACTCGGATATTTTAAAAGAAGAATATTTTCTAATACACGAGATATTGTGATTTAAACAAATACGAGTTCATATACTATCATTTACATACCCGTGAATTCTCACAATGTACCCGTGAATCCCATTGTATGAGAGAGTGAGTGAGTGATTGAATTAATACTTAACGTCACAGCATCAATATTTCAGCCATATCGTGAAGAGAACATTTTTTATGTATATCCTATTGCATGACAGGGGTATATTAGTGAGGGCTAAACATCATTTTCATTCTGTTTCCATAACAACATCTTTGTTCAATAGCTTCGACCCCGACCCTTCAGCCCGTCATTCCTGGTGGGCGCTGGTAGTAGGCGGCGGTTTACTGTGGATGTCGCTGTACGGAGCCAACCAAGCCCAGGTTCAGAGAGCCGTTTCCTGTCCGAGTGTCAGGAAGGCACAGTTGTGAGCATACGTCTGTCAGTTTTAAAATAACTCTTGTTATATACCTGATCCTGTAACAAATCACCACCCTCTGTGTGTCAGTTGATCGATACCCCGTGTTATATACCTGATCCTGTAACAAATCACCACCCTCTGTGTGTCAGTTGATCGATACCCCGTGTTATATACCTGATCCTGTAACAAATCACCACCCTCTGTGTGTCAGTTGATCGATACCCCGTGTTATATACCTGATCCTGTAACAAATCACCAACCTCTGTATCATCAACTAGGGCGATGTTGGTGAACATACCGGGACTCTTCTTCCTCATCAGCATGTGCTGCATGATCGGCATCGTGATGTTCGCCTTCTACTCCGACTGCCACCCCATCAGCTTCAACAGCCTCATCAGTAGGACAGACCAGGTGAGGTACACCGTTTACCAGCTCATCCTGCTGACGCATGCCACTTTCTGAACACTACCTTTAGCCAGGAGAGATTCAACTGAAGTGTGAACTCAATCAACCGAGTGAATAATGTGGAAATGTGTTTGTCCTCTGTATTAAAGAAGGTTTATGGACCTCAGGGCTTCTCGGAATTTGTTGTAATAGTACTCAGGAAAGAAATACTTTACGTCCGTTTCTAGAAATGTGTCTGAAACCACACGAGAAATTTGTCCTTTCACGTTGAAAACTGTCTCTCAGTTTTTGGACAAACTCTCTGATCTCTCACCCTCGGGCTTGTCACATTCTCCCATTTTATCACCCTCGTTTGTTTTGTTGTTCTAACTAAGATGTATTGCTGTGTGACGCGGCGTGTGATATCACACGTGAAGAAGTGGCATGAGTGTACTATATGATGTGCTGCCATGCCAGGTGGTGTCATACACGTGTTTTGGAGTTACGTGTGCTGTGATACTCCTATGTCCACTGTAGTGCTGTGTGCTGCAGTGTTATGTATATATGCTGTAGTGGTATGTATATGTGCTGTAGTAGTATGTGCTGTACTGGTATGTATATCTGCTTTGTGATATGAATATGTTCCATAGTGGTATGTATATGTGCTGTAATGTTATGTATATGTGCTGCAGTGTTATGTATATGTGCTTTACTGTTATGTATATGTGCTTTACTGTTATGTATGCGTGCTTTACTGTTATGTATATGTGCTTTACTGTTATGTATATGTGCTTTACTGTTATGTATATGTGCTTTACTGTTATGTATATATGCTTTAGTGTAATGTATATGTGCTTTAGTGTAATGTATATGTGCTGTAGTGGTATGTATATGTGCTTTAGTGTAATGTATATGTGCTTTAGTGGTATGTATATGTGCTTTAGTGGTATGTATATGTGCTGTAGTGTTATGTATATGTGCTTTAGTGGTATGTATATGTGCTGTAGTGGTATGTATATGTGCTTTACTGTTATGTATGTGTGCTTTAGTGTAATGTATATGTGCTTTAGTGGTATGTATATGTGCTGTAGTGTTATGTATATGTGCTTTAGTGTTATGTATATGTGCTGTAGTGTTATGTATATGTGCTTTAGTGTTATGTATATGTGCTGTAGTGTTATGTATATGTGCCGTAGTGCTGTGTATATGTGCTTTAGTGTTATGTATATGTGCTGTAGTGTTATGTATATGTGCTTTAGTGTTATGTATATGTCCTGTAATGTTATGTATATGTGCTTTAGTGTTATGTATATGTGCTGTAGTGTTATGTATATGTGCTTTAGTGTTATGTATATGTCCTGTAATGTTATGTATATGTGCTTTAGTGTTATGTATATGTCCTGTAGTGTTATGTATATGTGCTTTAGTGGTATGTGTATGTGCTGTAGTGGTATGTATATGTGCCGCAGTGTTATGTATATGTGCTGTAATGTTATGTATGTGTGCTGTAATGTTATGTATATGTGCTTTAGTGTTATGTATGTGTGCTGTAATGTTATGTATATGTGCTTTAGTGTTATGTATATGTGCTGTAGTGGTATGTATATGTGCCGCAGTGTTATGTATATGTGCTGTAGTGTTATGTATGTGTGCTGTAGTGTTATGTATATGTGCTGTAGTGTTATGTATATGTGCTTTAGTGTTATGTATATGTGCTGTAGTGTTATGTATATGTGCTTTAGTGTTATGTATATGTGCTGTAGTGTTATGTATATGTGCTGCAGTGTTATGTATATGTGCTGTAGTGTTATGTATGTGTCCTGTAGTGTTATGTATATGTGCTGTAGTGTTATGTATATGTGCTGCAGTGTTATGTATATGTGCTGCAGTGTTATGTATATGTGCTGTAGTATTATGTATATGTGCTGTAGTTTTAAGTATATGTGCTGTAGTGTTATGTATATGTGCTTTAGTGTTATGTATATGTGCTGTAGTAGTATGTGCTGTACTGGTATGTATATCTGCTTTAGTGATATGAATATGTTCCATAGTGGTATGTATATGTGCTGTAATGTTATGTATATGTGCTGCAGTGTTATGTATATGTGCTGCAGTGTTATGTATATGTGCTGCAGTGTTATGTATATGTGCTGCAGTGTTATGTATATGTGCTGTAGTATTATGTATATGTGCTGTAGTTTTAAGTATATGTGCGGTAGTGTTTTGTATATGTGCTGTAGTGTTATGTATATGTGCTGTAGTGGTATGTATATGTGCTTTAGTGTTATGTATATGTGCCGTAGTGTTTTGTATATGTGCTGTAGTGTTATGTATATGTGCTGTAGTGGTATGTATATGTGCTTTAGTGTTATGTATATGTGCCGTAGTGCTGTGTATATGTGCTGTAGTATTATATGCCCTGTACTGATGTATGAGCTTCAGTGATACATTGCTGTACCGATTTATGAGCTGTAGTGATATATTGCTGTAGATATATATGAGCTGTACTGATATATGAGATTTAGTGATATATTGCTGTACTGATATATGAGCTGTAGTGATATATTGCTCTACTGATATATGAGCTGTAGTGATATATTGCTGTACTGATATATGAGCTGTAGTGATATATTGCTCTACTGATATATGAGCTGTAGTGATATATTGCTCTACTGATATATGAGCTGTAGTGATATATTGCTGTACTGATATATGAGCTGTAGTGATACATTGCTGTACTGATATATGAGCTGTAGTGATATATTGCTGTACTGATATAAATGCTGTACTGATATATGAGCTGTAGTGAAATATTGCTCTACTGATATATCAGCTGCAGTGATACATTGTTGTACTGATACATGAGCTGTAGTGATACATTGTACTGATATATGAGCTGTAGTGATATATTGCTGTCCTCATATAAGCGCTGTACTGATATATGAGCTGTAGTGATATATCGCTGTACTGATATATTAGCTGTAGTGATATATTGCTTTACTGATATATGACCTGTACTGATATATTTCTGTACTGAGATATGTGCTGTGGTGATACATTGCTCTACTGATTTATGAGCTGCAGTGATATATTGCTCTACTGATATTTGAGCTGTAGTGATACATTGTTGTACTGATATATGAGCTGTAGTGATATATTGTTGTACTGATATATGAGCTGTAGTGATACATTGCTGTATTGATATATGAGCTGTAGTGATATATTGCTGTACTGATATAAGCGCTGTAGTGATACATTGCTGTATTGGTATATGAGCTGTAGTGATATATTGCTGTACTAATATAAGCGCTGTAATGATATATTGCTGTACTAATATAAGCGCGCTGTAGTGATATATTGAGGTACTGATATAAGCGCTGTACTGATATATAATTTGCGTTGCTGTTGTACGTGTTACAGCTGGTGCCGTTGTACGTGATGGACATCCTGGCAGACACGCCTGGCGTCCCTGGCATCTTCGTGTCCAGTCTGTTCAGTGGCAGCCTCAGGTATAACATATTACTATGTGTACATCTGACACAGTGTAAACCCTCCCAGCTCAGCCCTATATTATATCAATGTTAAAAGGTGTAAGGTCTTGGGGCGTGTGAACAACCATTTAGAACAGCACACGTGATTTTCAGAACTGGACCTTATCTTTCGAGTGGAATATACACTATAAACACAAAATATGGGAACACCCTAAAATTTGATAGTCTTATATAAACTGAAACGTGGTGAGGTCATTTATACTCTATGGTAGATACAACTTTTTGTGTGCTTAATGGGCACTTTAAACGACATTTTGAACATGCAGTGAAGCAACTGATTCAATATTCGTTGAGTTTGAGTGAAATGAAACATTGTTAAAAACAGCGAAAAACAAGGGTGCTGAAACACACCAGCGCCATGTTTGATTCAAACGCCCAAACGGAACAGCCTAGTGCATGTGGAAGACATACTTGACAGCATGTGGAAGACAGCACTAGGTTTTTGTGTTTGGGCGTTTGAATCAAACATGGTGCTATCAAATATAGGTACTGTCATAACATTTGGGTGTTGCGATACTTTTTGTTCCATGTGTATATATGCAGCGTGTCTAGCAGTATGTAACGACAGGTGCTTGATCTGACCGTTACATTCCATCAAGAAAGTGACGTTCATCATCGATAAGAGTCTCTATACAATATAGGCATGAAACAGAATCTCTCTGCAACCCGTTCTTCCAGGTCTGACATCAGCGTTAACTGTAGCCACAGGTGCGTGGAAATAACGACAGATGGTCTTAATGAAAGGTAGAGTTCAACCCGATGCTGTTATTTTATGTTCGCTATACCCCAGCTCGCTGTCCAGTAACCTGAACGCAATGGCGGCTGTCATCCCACAAGACATCATTAGACCCTATTTCCTCCCTCATCTCACTGACCGGAAGGCCACCATCATGTCAAAGGTGATAGGTAGGTTGTATACTACCGCATCTCACATCTAACTTATGTTTACAACCAGACGGTGTCCTCTCTTGCCATACTAACGTATGTTCACAACCTGGCGGTGTCCTCTCTATAACCACACAATCTTATGTTTACAACAAGACGATGTCTTCTCTATAACCATGCAATCTTATGTTTACCACCAGACGGTGTCCTCTCTAATCATACTAACGTATGTTCCCAACCAGGCAATGTCCTCTCTAATCATGCGAACGTATGTTCCCAACCAGACAATGTCCTCTCTAATCATGCTAACGTATGTTCCCAACCAGACAATGTCCTCTCTAATCATACTAACGTATGTTCCCAACGAGAGAATGTCCTCTCTAATCATACTAACGTATGTTCCCAACCAGACGATGTCCTCATTAATCATACTAACGTATGTTCCCAACCAAACGGTGTCCAGTCTAATCTTGCTGCAATATTGCTAAAAGCGGCGTAAAACCATACTCACTCACCAACCGTCGCAAAGTTCGCCTTCAAGTTGGGATGTTCTCCTGGTCCAGATTTCCAACACAGTATTCCTTATTGACACATGGAGTTTGTTGCGGTATTTTTTATGTTCGAGTACACACATACACAAAACCATTCTGTTGTGGTATTTATACAGTGCAAGTGCACTTATTCTGTGATGGGTTTTGAACGGAGGGTAGCCCTGTGGGTAAAGTGTTCGTGATGCAGAATTAGTTGTAACATCACTGAACCTCAAAAACATTGGTACAGACATGGTTTTGTGTTTATATCATTTACAATAGTTATGTATTCAATGTATAAAAAAGTCCTCCCTTGGATGTTGATGCTATGTGCCTTTTGGGGGGCAAAAACTATGATTGTTGTTTTTTTATAATTACTATTTTCTATCTGAAAATAAGTCCAGAAAATGGTATAAAATCTTGCAAAACATACAACTGAAGTGTACAAAATAGTAAATAACGAAAATTAAAATTGAAACAAAATTCATGACATGAGGTTTGAACTTGGATTTTGGACACTCCAGCGCACTGGAAACGAGTAAATGGGAGTTATCTCCCCTTTGTTTACAATAGATTGAAGTAGCAGAATGGAAAGGAGTGAGTGAGTGAGTATGGTTTTACGCCGCTTTTAGCAATATTACAGCACTATCACGGTGGAGGACACCAGAAAGAATGGAAGGGTTCTATCTTTTATATACCTCTAACTAGATGAGGCGGTAAATACCTGATTGATGACGTCATCTACAAAGCCACTGTAACAACTCAAGCGGACACAGTTTCATACATAGGGCTAGCAAGTGGCCCTTTCAAACTGATGTGTAACAACCACACTTAATCGTTCAGAAATGAACGCTGCGAGAAAGAAACAGAATTATCCAAATATATCTGGTAACTCAAAAGAAACAAGGTCAACTACGAAATATAATGGAACGTTTTGAAGCAATCAAACACAAGCAAGCGAGACTCAGGATTATGTAAACTCTGTATATTGAAGAGAACCTGGAAATTCTCAACAACAAAGGCAACAAGATCAACAAAAAGAGTGAACTACTTTCAGCCTGTCGGCATGGAAAGCACACAGACCGAGAGAGAGAAAAAAAGTTCCAAGCAACTTGATTTCAGTTTGTCTGATGATTGCCGCACAGAACACGTGTGTGTGTGTGCATGAAACTCTGAGTAACAAACTTGAAATAATCAATAACACATAGACACACACAGAGAGAGAGAGAGGGAGAGAGAGAGAGGAAGCAACCAGGGCAACCCTCCAGTCCTGCATGCTCTCAATATCGGCACTAGAATTTGGTCCCGGCAGAAGCTGGTTACTTGATGATCATTTACACGCCCTCTAATATGGCGTCAGTCTATTCCGTATTTCGGCACAACAAGGACCGCCCATTTGACTGTCTGCACAGTAATTAATACACTCTAAACCGGTATCCGATATCTCGACTCTCCTTTTGACTGGCTGATAAAAGGAGTATGGATTATTTGGTGTTTGACTGCCCGCAGTAAAAACATGCCCATTCCTGGCCCTATTTGGAAAGAGAAAGCTCTTCAGAATATGATGACTACCAACACGGTGTTTTGTCGTAGCTTACGGCACACGGAAGATCATTCTCATATATATATGTAGAGAGAGAGAGAGCGGGGTTGTGGTGTGTGTGTGTGTGTGTGTGTGTGTGTGTGTGTGTGTGAGAGAGAAAGAGAGAGAGAGAGACATCTGTTCTATCAAATATGTGATAGGGGATAGTTCTCTTTCAGATAAGTCATAAATTTGCTGAGACATAATGAGGACTACATTGCATGTTCTTGAAGTTGTGTTTATTTTACCCTTGAAAATAGAAAATATATGCTCTGAAAAGTCTTGTATCTAAAGCTTTATTCAAATTATAACTTTTCCAGTCCATGTATTAGTAGTTCCTCGTGTCCTCTTGAAATATACACATGAAAGTACACTTGGGTCTCAATATAAGATATTAAAAAGTATTTTCTGAACATTTCAACTCTGTTTTTTTCACCCCAAAATAGGATTTAGCTTAAATGTATTTGACTTTTCTCACTCATGTATTAGTATTACCTTGTGTTCTCTTTGGAAATAGCCATAAAAAGTACATTTGTGTCTCAATATGGAATTTTAAGAAATATTCTCTGAAACTTTCAACTTTTTACCCCAAAATAGGACTTCGCATAACATTATTTGACTTTTATTTCTAATCCATTTATTAGTAGTACCTTGTGTTCTCTGTGAAATTTATTTATATATATATATATATATATAAAGGTAAATTTGTGTCTCAATATGAGATTTTAAAAATTATTCACTGAAAATTTCAGGTTTTCAACTTTTTATCCCAAAACATAGGACTTAGCATCATAACTCAAGGGAGGACTTTTTAGTACTCATTAGTTTCAACTTAAACATGTTGAAAAAACTCAAATAATTTCTGTACTAATTATTTTGAGGTTTAGTCACATTTTGACTGGACTATACTGCGTCTGAAGCTAAATCAGCGAAAAGCCACACTCACTCTTGTGTGGTGTGGTGTTTATACGTCCAAGCGCACTGTTTCTGTTTCGGTATTTATTCTGACATGTGTTTTGTATGTGGACAATGCAGTGCTAGTGTCTGGAGCAGTAATGATAGCCTTGGCGTTCATGGTGTCACAGATGGGAACGGTGTTACAGGCCTCCTACAGTGTCTACGCCATCATCAACGGTCCCGTGTTCGGTGTCTTCGTTCTGGGCATGTTCTTCCCTTGGGCGAACAACGTTGTAAGTCTCCCGCTATTGGCCACTTAAACTCAAGTACATCTGAGAGATCAATGAATAAATTCTTCATTTAATGTATTGTTAAGTCACAAAGGGATTGCTAACTGATAAGATTTGTGTATTTGAAATCCTCATCTTCAGGGCGCAATTGTCGGATTCTGTGTTTCAACCCTCTTCATGTTTTGGGTCGGCATTGGAGCTTTCGTTACCAAGGCAACTACAAGCGTTAAGTCTCCTCTTCTCACTCACGGTTGCAACTGGAACGTCACAAGCACAACAACAGCAGCTAATCTGTCCACAATGTCAAGCGGAAACCTGACAGACACACTTGCCCAATCATCCGAATCAAGGTAAAATCAATGTAGCAATAATTAGCCCGTCATTAACTACTCCAAGAGCATTAAAGAACAAATAAACATTGGGGTTTTTTGCACTCTTTTAAACCATTACATATGAAAGATTTATGGTTAGTCTTATGCGGAAAACAAATTTCATTCTTAAAAAACTTGTGGTTAAATTATACCGAGGGATTAAAAGTTGCCAAAAAGTCGCCTGCTTCACTCTCGCCCGCCAACGAAACCACAGACAGCTCACGTAACTCTGTCGCCAGAGCACTGCAATGACGTCATGTGAGTAAGGATTTTCAATTAGTTGTATATAAATTGTGTAGCAAGCTCGTCATTTTGATGATTTCTCGACATCAACGAAGACATGCCGAATCGTTGCGTTGTCGTCAATTGGTCCTAGGGGTCGGTCGATGGTGTCACCATGCACAGATTTCCACAGGACCCAGTTCGTGCTAAATGGGTTATGTTTGTGAGTGCGAAGCGATCGTTGTGGAAGCCTGGAACGATATCTTACTCGTGTTCAGATCGCTTCACGGAAGTTAAAGAATCAAAACTACTTACTAGTTGTAGTAAAATATGTATATGATTGATAACCATAGAGATTTTCCATGACACAACTTGTAACATAACGATTTGTTCCTCGGAAGTGAGGTTGTGGTCGAAGTGACAATAATATTGTAAGTAGTATTATATTGACACCCACCTCGCTTCCACGAGAGAAATTGTTATGTTATACGCTATGTCATGCAAAATCCTATTGGCCATCAATCAAATACATATATTTAACTACCAGTAGAAAGTAGTTTTGATTTTGTAACTCGGTGAAAACAAACCTAAATTAAAAAGGCATTTATCCTCAGACTGGCGGATGTTCGCGACAGGGCGCCGCCATTTTTGAAAATCGTAAAGTCACGGGCTAAAGTCTGTTAGAATTATAGTTTATCATCAAGTTAGAAAATCAAAACTACTTTCTACTCCTAGTTAAATATGTATTTGAATCATGACCAAACTTATAACATAACGATGTCTTCCGCGGAAGCGAGGTGGGGCTCGAAGTGACAATACTGCCCGATACATTTCTTGCTACATTCACGTGGTTAACGTGCACTCACCAGTATGTAGATACTAGTCAATGTGCGTCTTTATATTTGGTCTTTTAATCCTAATTAGTTTATTATCATAATTGTATGCATTTTGAAACTAAATAAAAAGAAGACGATCTGCTGATACTTATAGTGAATTCATAACAGGACTGTAATATCTAGACATTTTATACTTTGCCAATGTGAATCATAATTCGCACACACGCCCTAGTGGTATGTTGTCTGTCTTATTACACGTCACGGCGAAAACAATGATTCTGTTGAATGCTACGACAAATGAATAAAAACAAAATGCAAAAATTACAATTAAAACAGATTAAAGTTATAGGAACAATGTCAAGCTATTACCTTGTTCGAGGAATGTATCCATCAATATCCACAAAAACGAGTGATATGCCATTCATCTGCAGCTGTTCCAAGAGATGTGTCTTTTTACAGTCTAATATACGAAAAGGTGATATATCGTTTCAGGTATTTCACATTGGTGTATAGTCTCACTGGTCACCCAAGATAGCACACCTGGCAACTAATTGCATAATGTCCGCCATTCTTGAAAAATAAAGTAATTTAGTTAGCCAATAGTGAGCAATCAATCAATGTATTGGCTGTTAATCCTCTGAAAGAAGGACGTTGTTTTTACAGTGACACGACTGTATTCAGTAGTAGATAAGTAAATCTACATACATAAACTCTACCTTTTGAAAAATCCACTGTGCAAGATAAAAGTAATAAATCAATCAGATTTGATCGATGTTTATAGTGTTGAGTATTGTGTCCAGACACAAGAAATGCCAAATGGGAACCTTTGTCGGGTAATCTAAGCGGTGTTACGACTAATTATACCTGTTATAAATTCATTAACTGACCATCAAGTGAATGATGACAAATAACATGTTTAGGGTATAAACACGGGTTACAACAAGGGAGTATTAATTGCTGTATTGCATGCAATTTTAATTGCATGTGAAAACTTGTGGACCGACATTGTTTTGCGAATACGAACAGTACTTCATCGTTGCGTAAGAAATACATATAATCATTTGCTGTGTGCTAAAACTGTATGTACCTATTAACCTAAATACATTTCAGATTCTTCTAGCAATGGGTTGTTTTGTTTACGGATTCAAATAAATCAAATGTCAATTTTTAATATCATACGTAATAGACGCCATATTTTACATGACATGATTAAATATCGAGGTACAAAAACACAGAAATGGGATCAATTCTGATCAGTCATACCATCCAGGCATTAGAAAACTTGAAAAAGCCCACACTGCTTTGATACTTTATTATAATCAGACAAGAACTACCGGGGACTTTTTCAAATAACTGCATCTGATAGGCATCCACCCTTCCTAATGTCGCACTGTTTAGGTTGAAGAAATTAACCGTAACCGTGATGAGCGAGGCTGATCACCGTTTTCACTATCACTAGAGTCTGACTCGAACAAATAAGGCCTAGCGACACCAAGCGAATTTGACAGAATCGTCTATGAAAACAAGTTGTAACTTGGAAACTAGGCAAAGCAGGAGACAAACTTAAACGACAGTTGACAGTAGATTGTGAGAACATATTGCTTTCAGTTTTCACATCAGTTGTCACGATTTCATGTTTATACAAACCTGTAAACACGATAATTTACCCCCTGAAAAGTACATGAATTCTGCATCGGCCCTCATTTCTATTCCTCACATGACGTCACAGAGACGCTCCGCTCTGATTGGTTGAAATTTCGTTCGCGGATGAGAATTGTGCACTGTTGTCAAAAAGGTCAATTTAAGTTAATTAAAGATCGAAATGGGTAGTTTTAATGACGGGGTTTCATTTCTAACGATGACAATTAGTGATTTATGTATTTGTACCCCCCTCGAGTATACGTGATCTTTTAGGAACATTTCACCAACATCCACACATTCATAACAACTTATGCAAATGTTTATACTGTAGTTACACTTCAACAGCAACAGATACCAGTATTTATACACTAGTTACACTTCAACAGCACCAGATACCAGTATTTATACACTAGTTACACTTCAACAGCACCAGATACCAGTGTTTATACACTAGTTACACTTCAACAGCACCAGATACCAGTGTTTATACACTAGTTACACTTCAACAGCAAATCTACAGATAGTATACACAATTCAACAGCACCAGATACCAGTGTTTATACTGTAGTTACAATTCAACAGCAACAGATACCGAGTATTTATACACTAGTTACACTTCAACAGCACCAGATACGAGATACCAATTTTATAGTTGCCACTCTAGTTACACTTCAACAGCAACGGATACGAGTGAACTTCAACGGCAACAGTTTATACTGTAGTTACACTCTTCAACGGCACCTAGTGTTTATACACTGGTTACAGAGATTCAACAGCAACAGATACTGTGTTTATGCACTAGTTACACTTCAACAGCAACAGATACCAGTGTTCTTACACTGGGTACACTTCAACATACCAAAGTGCCATCGCTACCCTTCAACAGCAACAGATACCAGTGTTTATACACAAGTTACCCTTCAGCAGCAACAGATACCAGTGTGTTTATACACTAGTTACACTTCAACAGCAACAGATATACCAGTGCATGAGATACCACAGTATTTATATAGTGTTACCAGTTATACTACCAGTGTTTATACAGGCTACTCTTCAACAGTAACAGATTCAGTGTTTATACACTAGGTAACACTTCAACAATTCAACGGCACCAGATGCAGAGTATTTTATACTCTGGTTACACTTCAACAGCAACGGATACCAGTGTTCTTACACTAACAGCGTTTATACACAAGTTACCCTTCAACAGCAACAGATACCAGTGTGTTTATACACTAGTTACGCTTACACTAGCGGTTACACTTCAACAGCAACAGATACCGATGTTTATGTTTATGGTAACTGTTACACTTCAACGGATTTACGCTAAACGGCATGAGATACCAGCATTTATACACTAGTTACAATTCAACAGCACAGTTACAATTCAACAGCAGATACCAGTATTTATACAGAAGCATACTCAGTTACATCAACACCTGTGTTTATACTCTAGTTTCAACAGCAACAGATACCAGTAAGTTTATACTGTAGTTACACTTCAACAGCACAACAAATACCAGTATTTATACACTAGTTACAATTCAACAGCAACAGATACCTGTGTTTATACACTAGTTACACTTCAACAGCAACAGATACCGAACAGATACCAGTGTTCTTACACTAGGTACACTTCAACAGCAACAGATACCAGTGTTTATACACAAGTTACCCTTCAACAGCAACAGATACCAGTGTTTATACACTAGTTACACTTCAACAGCAACAGATACCAGTGTTCTTACACTAGGTACACTTCAACAGCAACAGATACCAGTGTTTATACTGTAGTTAAACTTCAACGGCAACAGATACGAGTGTTTATACTGTAGTTACACTTCAACAGCACCAAATACCAGTATTTATACACTAGTTACAATTCAACAGCAACAGATACCTGTGTTTATACACTAGTTACACTTCAACAGCAACAGATACCAGTGTTCTTACACTAGGTACACTTCAACAGCAACAGATACCAGTGTTTATACACAAGTTACCCTTCAACAGCAACAGATACCAGTGTTTATACACTAGTTACACTTCAACAGCAACAGATACCAGTGTTCTTACACTAGGTACACTTCAACAGCAACAGATACCAGTGTTTATACTCTAGTTACACGTCAATGGCAACAGATACCAGCGTTTATACACTAGTTACACTTCAACAGCAACAGATACCAGTGTTTATGCACTAGTTATACTTCAACGGCATGAGATACCAGTATTTATACACTAGTTACTCTTCAACAGCAACAAATACCAGTGTTTATACACTAGTTACACTTCATCGGCAACAGATACCATTGTTTATACACTAGTTACACTTCAACAGCAACGGATACCAGTGTTTATACAGAAGCTACTCTTCAACAGTAACAGATACCAGTGTTTATACACTAGGTACACTTCAACAGCAACAGATACCAATGTTTATACACTTGTTACACTTCAACAGCAAATATACCAGTGCTTATACACTAGTTACATTTCAACAGCAACAGATACCAGCGTTTATACACTAGTTACACTTCAACAGCAACAGATACCAGTGTTTATACACAAGTTACCCTTCAACAGCAACAGATACCAGTGTTTATACACTAGTTACACTTCAACAGCAACAGATACCAGTGTTCTTACACTAGGTACACTTCAACAGCAACAGATACCAGTGTTTATACTCTAGTTACACGTCAATGGCAACAGATACCAGCGTTTATACACTAGTTACACTTCAACAGCAACAGATACCAGTGTTTATGCACTAGTTATACTTCAACGGCATGAGATACCAGTATTTATACACTAGTTACACTTCAACAGCAACGGATACCAGTGTTCTTACACTAGTTACACTTCAACAGCAACAGATACCAGTGTTTATACACAAGTTACCCTTCAACAGCAACAGATACCAGTGTTTATACACTAGTTACACTTCAATAGCAACACATACCAGTGTTCTTACACTAGGTACACTTCAACAGCAACAGATACCAGTGTTTATACACCAGTTACACGTCAATGGTAACAGATACCAGTGTTTATACACTAGTTACACTTCAACAGCAACAGACACCAGTGTTTATACTCTAGTTACACTTCAACAGCAACAGATACCAGTGTTTATACACTAGTTATACTTCAACGGCATGAGATACCAGTATTTATACACTAGTTACTCTTCAACAGCAACAAATACCAGTGTTTATACACTAGTTACACTTCATCGGCAACAGATACCATTGTTTATACACTAGTTACACTTCAACAGCAACGGATACCAGTGTTTATACAGAAGTTACTCTTCAACAGCAACAGATACCAGTGTTTATACACTAGGTACACTTCAACAGCAACAGATACCAATGTTTATACACTTGTTACACTTCAACAGCAAAACATACCAGTGCTTATACACTAGTTTCATTTCAACAGCAACAGATACCAGCGTTTATACACTAGTTACACTTCAACAGCAACAGATACCATTGTTTATACACTAGTTACACTTCAACAGCAACAGATACCAGTGTTTATACACTAGTTCCACTTCAACAGAAAAGATACCAGTGTTTATACACGAGTTACACTTCAACAGCAACAGATACCAGTGTTTATACACGAGTTACACTTCAACAGCAAAAGATACCAGTGTTTTATAATAATGTTTATTGTTTCCAAATAGTCCGTGACTCGGGTTGAAGTGATGTTTGTGTCTGTTTGCAGCGATCCCTTCCACGCAATGTATACGCTGAGCTATCTGTATTACACCCCTACAGCCATGACGATCCTGGTCATCGTCGGACTCATAGTTAGTTTTATAACAGGTTTGTAGAACACGTCTTCGTCAGTCTTTCCAACGTCAACAAGTGCTATTGGTCCTCTCTTTGACTTAATGCTGCCATTGATGCAGGGACATATTGACATCTCCTTGACTTATGCCGCCATTAATTCAGGACATATTGACATCTTCTTGACTTAATGCCGCCATTCATGCTGGGAATATTGACATCTCCTTGACTTTATGCGCGATTGATGCAGGACATATTGACATCCCCTTGACTTATGCCGCCATTAATTAAGGACATATTGACATCTTCTTGACTTAATGCCGCCATTCATGCAGGGAATATTAGCATCTCCTTGACTTTATGCCGTCATTGTTGCAGGACATATTGACATCTCCTTGACTTATGCCGCCATTAATGCAGGACATATGCAGGACTTAATGCCGCCATTGTTGCAGGACATATTAGCATCCCCTTGACTTAATACCGCCATTGGTTGATGAGTCGATGTTACCTGTAGTGAATGTTCATTTGACAGGTCCCCGGGAACCATCGAGTATCGATCCTCGTCTCATCTGTCCTTTGTTCGACCGCCTCTTCCCCTGTCTGCCTGAGGCGATCCTCAAACCCCTCAGATTTGGGGTCAACCACAAAGGGGTTAGTGAAAGATATTGATAAAACGAATCCTGATTGTTTTTAAGTGATGTGTAAAGTGCAGGATATGTTACTAAACGTTTTAAGGCACACATCTAATACCAACAATGGGCATGAGCCCACCAACATTGTACTGCATTATAAAATGGTTCATATTTTTGCATGTAAACACATCCATTATAAGGTAAAGTCATGCAATATGTGTTTTGGTTTCAGAAGTACGACCTATCAATGACCAAGTCAGAGGATCCTGTTGAACATGCAACTGGACAACAGGTTGGTGTTGTTGAAGATTCACCAGGTCGGCAGCAAACAGATATGATCTCCAAGCCAGGAGACGAATGCGGTGATAACCGTCTGGGCTTCCAGGGAGATGAAAATTCGCTACATCGCGACAGTGTTGTGTAGCCTGTGGACATTTGTTCATCACTGAACGTTACAACCTGATGAATACGTATCAGAATCTATTCTTACTCAGACGGAATTGGGGTGATAGGAAACGACAATCGAGGACCATTGTGTACGTTTTCATGGACCATATCGGATCGGGGCACGTTTTCTGCTGTCTCCCTCGTATTCACCCGGCTGGTACAAATACCTAATACTGACCCAGTCCGGTAATTTGTTCTCTGTTTTATCACGATGTGCCGCTGCCGACGACGATTCGACAGATTTCATTTTGATGGCTTCGACGGGTCTCTTGCCAACGAGTCTGGTGACTTCGCTGTTGATGGCCCCATCACTCGCGGCAAGCGTTCGACCCATTCCGTATTTCTGTTTCCGGGATGGATTAAATCCCGACATTACTGGTGTGAGAATAGGCGTTCGGCTAAAGTGCGATTGAATCTCTCGAGGATCGCTTGGCTGCAGTGAGCTCGGCCACGCCTCGTCTCACCTGAACATTGTGCTTGGCCAGCAGCTGCGACACAGCTCACATGAACTCGCGTCCTGGATTGATTTGCAATACGGCAGGCCATGCCAAGCGATTGCGCATGTATATGCATTCTAAGGCTTTGGCGACTTCTTTCAAATGTTTCGTCGTCAATGGTTCGGCTTCTTAGTCGCGACTGGCAACGTCGACGATGGTAAGGGCATACCAGTAGGTTTTACGCCTCACAATGTCGTGAGGTAGAAACAGGAGGTCGGCTTGATGAACGTGATACAGTGTCGAAATGTCGAATTTTCTTCTCGGGATGTATCGAGGCGCCGGCAGGTAAACTTGCCAGATAGCTTGTTTTTTAAGCCAACCTTTGTCGTTTGTTGATATTCGGACATCCAGTTCGGGTTCTCCGTTAATAGTTCGGGAGCTAGCGGATAGCTGTTGTGCAATTCGTGTAATTCTGCAGGATATTCCAAGTCCACTTCGAGTATGTAGCCTTTGTTCGAATCTGGCGCGATACTATCGACGTCTATATCGAATGAGACCCATTCGAATCCCCAGGTGGGTAGATACTGACTCATGGCCCAGCCATACAGGCTGTTGGCATCGAGATAGAGGATGTGTTTGCTCGGTTTGCTCGTGTCGTGACCTGGAACGTACTTGTTGTTGGCTTTGGCATACCGTTTGGAGGCCGTTGAAATCCCGCCTCGCAAGCCTTTCTCTACGAACAGGTGCATGTCGTAATCCGTCAGTTCCACGCCGGTCTTTTTCAACAAGGCGTCCCGAGAGAGACCGGGGGAGGAGAAATATCATGCGGGGTCTAGGCGGTACTGTTTCGAGCACGTTTTCTGACTATTTCCTACACCTAGGCCAGCAGCAGCACATCGTTTTTTAAGTAAAGGTTGTGGTAGTCACCCAAATTCTTGCAGCCCAGTTTGTCCAACATGTTCAGGGCGTGCGCATAATCGTCCGGGGTGATGGTCGAGTCGGTCAAGTTGTTGTAAAAGCGATCGATGGGAGGCAATCGCGTCTCGTCAAACCTGGACCAGTCGTCCATGTATTCGTAGGGGTAGACCCCCTTCCTCAGCAGCAGAGGTCGAGTACCGGCGTCGGTGTATCAGTTGGTGATGTCAAAGTCGTCCGGGGAGACAACTGCAGGAACTGAACGCTGTCGATAAATTTCAAATCGTCTAACGAGAACGAGATGTATTTTTACCCGTTGTTGGGTCTGCATGTTATGTTACCGTCGACCTTCACGATGGCCTGCATGATCAAGTGAGAATCGTACCCACGAAGATTGTGGAACACGGCGGGCATTTTGATGGTTTTGGGATTGATTTTGAAGTTGCACGCGTTGTAAGCGGCGGCCCCTCTGTAATTACCGGTGACGTCACAATGATCTCTCACGGAATCGAAATGAACACTCTGACAAGTGACAAGCACAGGATATACGATTTAAGGCTGAATAAAAATTCGTTGTCAGCGATGGATACGAAAGGATTCAACTTAAAAGCAATGTCATTATTTAGCATTGACAGAATTTCTAACTGTGATATAGATATGTCTTTGTAAGTCAGTCGTATTAATTTGTGCCACACCTGCCTCTTGCCACGGAGGCTTCACACACTGGTAAGTCAGTCGTATTGTGAAACACTCCATCCCACTCACCAGTAGTAGCCTGACATGCATCTCCATCACACAGGTCACAGGACAGGACACTCAAATGTAGACCTATAATTCTGTGAATTAAGAAGACAGCAATTTTCTGAATGCTTTACTACCAATGTTGTGTTTTACGTTGCATGTGACCTTTAACTTCAAAAGCAGTCAACATACTGCATTCTTGCATGGCTTAATTGTTTTATGTCCTTTTCAAAAGGGAGAGCTATTCACGCTATTTCAACCACATTCATGGTTGAAACAGAGTCACGAAAATACAACCACAAACAACATTACAAGTGACCACAGAAGTGATCGTTTCCTGTATTTAAAATATACTGTTCACAATAATTCTGTTAATGCACTTTCTGTAAAACACATTAGAATGCATGCCGAAAGGTTCATCTACAACTGGGTGTCCTACATTACCGGATCTGTTTTCATGCATAAATACACGTGCACATAAAGTCACGTAAATCAGACTTAATTAAATTGGTTACATGACTTAGCGATACCATCTCTCGGTGGGGCGGATGGTCACGTGACTGCATTCAAGGAATCTAGCACCAGCCGGGGCTCCAGACACCGTTAAAGTTGACCGGGTTAGATCGAGGGTCAGAAGGTGGATCCATCGCAGGCACCCGAGTCGCATTCTTCAGGGCCAGCATCTGCAGGAGGAAGTTGACGAGGGTGGGGTTGTCCTTCGAGATGTCATGGTGCTCCGTGGGGTCGGCGCGGATGTTGAAAAGCATGACACTGTCAGAGGGAGAGTCGTCCATGGCAGAGCCGTCTATGTCAGACCCAGCAGGGGGGTACCACCCTGCGTACCCAGGGTCACCAACGATCAACTTCAGGTCTCCCCATCTGAGAGCTGCGGCGTAGTGGTCGTCGTAGATGTTGTAGACAAATTCATTCCTTATGCTACTGCCTCCGTTCAGGATCATGTCGACTTGACTCATTCCGTCGATATCCAGTTTACTGGAGTCTCCCCCAGCTATGTCCAGTAACGTAGGGTACCAGTCCACAGCATGGAACATCCCAGGGTGAGTGTAGCCTCTCTTCTTCAGCAGAGTCTTACTGTAGACGAAACCGGCTCCTCTGGTTCCTCCCTCCCATAATGTAGTTTTTCCGCCCCTCAGAGGCCAGTTATTACCACCAGCAAAGGGAAGCCCACCATTGTCTGTTGTAAACACAAGTAGCAGATTGTCCATGAATCCAAGGTCCTCCAGGACGGTGGTGATGTTGTACACAGCATCGTCCAAAGCACTCACCATACCACTGTAAACCATCCTATCCAAATCATGAATGTGGCTGTAGCGATCGGAATATTTAGCAGGCACCTGCAGGGGTCCATGTACAGCTTGAAACGGCAGGTACAGATACATGGGCTTGGATTTGTCGTGGTTCATTATGATATCGATGGCTCTCTTTACAAACACGTACGTGGAGTACTCCCCTTGTGCGTCTTTGTAGACCTCTGTCATGTTTCTGAAGTCATATCCATAGTAATCAGCTAGCTCGTCCCTGACATGAGTGAAATAGTCCTCCATACCTGCATAGTAGCCCATGAAGGTGTCGAAGCCTCTGTAGGTGGGAGTGTACTTCAAGTTACAGAAGCCGAGGTGCCACTTGCCGACCATGTGGGTATCATAGCCGAGGGTCTTCAACCTCTGTGGGATGGTGATTATGTCCGCCGGCATGTACTTGGGTTGTTCTATAAAGACTACATTATCCTGGAGCCCCGTGTGGTAGGGGAACTTGCCCGACATGAAGCAGTTTCTTGAGGGGGAACACAGCGGTAGGACGTAGGAGGAGTTGAGGATGACGCCGTCACGGGCGAGGCGGTCAAGTGTCGGCGTCTGGATGTCCGGGTTGATCCAGCCGACGTCATTCCAGCCAAGGTCATCTGCCACGATGAAGACGATGTGTGGTTTGTCAGCAGCAGCAACAGTGCTTGTGAAACACGAGACGACCACAGCAGCGAGAACAGTGTAAAGCGTCATGGCCATGTAGCAATTGAGGACATGGACCTTCTGCGTTAAGGTCAGTGTGTATCTCACTCTTATCAGATCACGTGCAAGGCTACGTTCTTATCATGAACCATTTCACACAGACGTCCTATTTCATGTTACTTATTTCAAGTGACGATAAGGTCACCCAGACATACCAATATCTCCCTCTCTCCCCTTCTCTGTGTTTACTGGTATATGATGATGATGATCATAGGATATTTATATAGCGCACATATCCACGCAACTAGTACATGTTCAAGGTGCTTGAGCGTTCCTTTGATCAAACGATGTCTTTTTTTCTGGAATTTTTTTAACCATCTCAATTGCCTGGTAGGTATTCAGCTTCTGCACCTTGTTAGGCGCAGCGAGTTATAACACAGCCTCATCCTTACAAGGTACCCATTTGCCGCTGGGTGGACAGGGACACATAGTCACAGTGTTTTGTCCAATGATACTGCACGTCACTATACCCACAACTACGTGTCTGCACGTGTGTCCACCATCCACCTACCGTCTGATGAGTGGGTTTTTTTAAGGGTGTGTACTGCACTGTAGGTTTTGTGACCACACTGAACGAGCCTGAAAGTAATCTTAGGTCCAAGGTTTTTACACACGACTACAAGTGGGGATCAGTTATGTTTGCGCTATATTAGCGACTAGTCACAACCATATGCTGCCGTCATGAACAAGCTTCACCTTTGTGTACCGCTAAGTACTCTTACGCGAATGCTCGATTCTCTTCATATATATTCATGTTCAATTTTCTTCTTTTTTTTGAGTAATTTTAAGAATGACATTATATGATGAAAAGATTATTAACCTCGTGTATTTCCGTGTCATTAATATCATATATTTGGAATAAAAAATATATATAGCTATATATGGCTCGCATAATACAATTTTTATTCCTAATACATGATATTAATGCAACTAATCTCTGTATATACAGTAGCTACACTTTAACAGCAACAGATCCCAGTGTTTATACAGTTGTAACACTTCAACAGGAACAGATACCAGTGTTTATGCACCAGTTATACTGTAACAGAAAAAGATACCAGTGTTTATACTCTATTAACACTTCAACAGCAACAGATACCGGTGTTTATGCACCAGTTTTAGTTCAACGGCAACAGATACCAGTGTTTATACAGTAGCTTCACTTTAACATAAAAATATACCAGTGTTTATACTCTAGTTACACTTCAACGGCAACAGATACCAGTGTTTATGCACCAGTTATACTGTAACAGAAAAAGATACCAGTGTTTATACTCTATTAACACTTCAACAGCAACAGATACCGGTATTTATGCACCAGTTTTAGTTCAACGGCAAGAGATACCAGTGTTTATACACTAGTTACACTTCAACAGCAACAGATACCAGTGTTTATACACTAGTTACACTTCAACAGCAACAGATACCAGTGTTTGTACACTAGTTACGCTTCAACAGCAACATATACCAGTGTTTATACACTAGTTACACTTCAACAGCAACAGATACCAGTGTTTGTACACTAGTTACGCTTCAACAGCAACATATACCAGTGTTTGTACACTAGTTACACTTCAACAGCAACAGATACCAGTGTTTGTGCACCAGTAATACTTCGACGGCAAGAGATACCAGTGTTTATACACTAGTTACACTTCAACAGCAACAGATACCAGTATTTATACACTAATTACACTTCAACAGCAACAGATACCAGTGTTTATACAGTAGTTACTCTCCAACGGCAAGAGATATCAGTGTCTATACACTAGTTACACTTCAACGACAACAGATACCAGTGTTTGTACTCTAGTTACACTTCAACAGCAACAGATACCAGTGTTTATACACTAGTTACACTTCAACAGCAACAGATACCAGTGTTTATACACTAGTTACACTTCAACAGCAACAGATACCAGTGTTTGTACACTAGTTACACTTCAACAGCAACAGATACCAGTGTTTATACACTAGTTACACTTCAACAGCAACAGATACCGGTGTTTATACACTAGTTACACTTCAACAGCAACGGATACCACTGTTTATACACTAGTTACACTTCAACAGCAACAGATACCAGTGTTTATACACTAGTTACACTTCAACAGCAAGAGATACCAGTGTTTATACACTAGTTACACTTCAACAGCAACAGATACCAATGTTTATACACTAGTTACACTTCAACAGCAACAGATACCAATGTTTATACACTAGTTACACTTCAACAGCAACAGATACCAGTGTTTGTACACTAGTTACACTTCAACAGCAACAGATACAAGTGTTTGTGCACCAGTTATACTTCGACGGCAACAGATACCAGTGTTTATACACTAGTTACACTTCAACAGCAACAGATACCAGTATTTTTACACTAATTACACTTCAACAGCAACAGATACCAGTGTTTATACAGTAGTTACTCTTCAACGGCAAGAGATACCAGTGTCTATACAGTAGTTACACTTCAACGACAACAGATACCAGTGTTTATATTCTAGTTACACTTCGACAGCAACAGATAACAGTGTTTTATAATAATGTTTATTGTTTCCACATTATCCGTGAAGTGTTGAAGTGATGTTTGTCTCTGTTCGCAGCGATCCCTTCCACGCAATGTATACGCTGAGCTATCTGTATTACACCCCTACAGCCATGACGATCCTGGTCATCGTCGGACTCATAGTTAGTTTTATAACAGGTTTGTAGAACACGTCTTCGAGAGTCTTTCCACCGTCAACAAGTGCAGTCATTATTATCAGCTATATTCAACTGTCAGGGTTAAGGATAAACATAGATAAGTCTACAGCTACCTGGATAGGCTTAAACGCAGATAAAAGAGATATAATTTGACAAGAAGACTTGAAGAAATTAATAGATTACTGGCAAGACATTTCACATTGATTGGCAAAATCACTATTATTGGCTCTTTCAAATTTATTTACATTTTCAAATCTTCATCTAACCCACCTGGTGAATTTATCACTTCCCTTGAGAGAGTATTTTTCATATATATTTGGTATGAAAAAGGACAAAATTAAACGGAGCACTTTACAAAATAAAATACTGAATGGAATTTACCCATGACTGATATTAAAACCTTTGTTAATGCCATGAAATTATCTACACTCAGACTCTATTTGAGAAGAACAAATATGAGTAATCAGTGCAATTTTCCATTAAATGCTATATTAAAATATAGAACACATTTTCAGAATATTGTAGACATTGATCATCCTTTTTGGAAAGATGTTTTAATGGCATGGAAATTAAGCTGTAATAAAGTACCATAGAAGCAGAGGACATTAAAGGAATTTTATTGCAACCCTTATGGTTGAATAAAAATTTAAAACCCCAAATCACTTTATTAGACATTTGACTACAAATGGAATTTTGACAATTTAGGACCTTTGTACTGAAGATGGTTTTATGTCTTTTGAAGATCTAATGATTTAAAGTTCAAATTTGATATTAGAGGTACATATATGGAGATCCGTGATAAGAATATTGATCTTCGGTAACCCATGCTTGTCGTAAGAGGCGACTAACGGGATCGGGTAGTCAGGCTCACGGACTTGGTTGACACATGTCATCGGTTCCAAATTGCGCTGATCAATCCTCATGTTGTTGATCACTGGATTGTCTGGTAAAGTTCTGGTCTTGCCTGGTCCCGTTCTGGTCTTAAACGAATCTTTACAAGGAATATCACCAAGTGTCCTCTGATATCTATTAATATCCGTCACAGCTCGGGAAAGCTAAAGAAATTTGAGCCTGTGTCCATATCGGTTTGGGTGTGAACATAATGCCTAAATATCTGTAGAAGGCTACAACTTCAATATTGTCGCCATTGTGGGTCCACATTCATAACTTCTGAGGGGTCCACCATTTCTAAAGACCATGACGTTTGTTTTTTTCAAGTTCACTTTCATTCCAGTTTCTAAGCAAAATAATTTCAGAGCATCTATTTTCATTTGGTGTTGAACATTTGAATATGCTACAGAGGACACGTCATCGGGAAACACTATTCCAAAAACATTTGTAAAGTCTTATGAGATAAAAACACCATCTCCTCCAACATCTTCCAGTTGTTTTGTGGGGTTTATAAAGCGTTGGCTCGTACCCGGGTTGATCCCATATGATAAATGAGTTGAGGAATATGATACAAGAGGGCTCAAAACAGCCGTGGAGGCTGCCATATTATTGAAATAATCCGTTAATCCTCTTGAACCCCTCACACAAGCACACGGCCTGAATACAAAGATGGAAGTACATTATAAACGTTTCCCTTAATTCCAACATCCTTCAAACTGTGTAATAAAATAGCATGTCTTATAGTGTCAAATGCATTTGAAAAGACCACAAAAAGGCAGTAAAATTTCCCTTTCCTTTTTCTGGTATATTTCTGTATCATTGCTTGCAGATTGAATATATAGTAGAATAGTTGAGTAATTTGATCTTAAACCTGCCTGATGATATTGTCTTCACAGAAAGTCTTGAGTCTCCAGTTTAATATTTAGTAGTACATATTTTACACATGGTATCAATCAATGAAATTTCCATGTAGTTGTTAACATCATTCTCATCCCCAGATTTGAAAAGAGGGCAAATAATACTTCTATTCCAAACAGTAGGAAATACACCACTGTCAAATATCTGATTGTAAAGGACTGTAATTGTTGGTAAACTAGTACTTGTGATCAACTCCATCTGGTCCAGGTGATATATTATTTGCTAACTCTTTAATATGCTGTTCAACTTCTTGGCGGCTAATAGGTTGATTTAATTCTGCTGTTGTAACACTGTCATCTTCATCTATAGTAGGAGGTAAAGTAGGTGTATGTTCTGTTTGGAGGAGAGACGAAAAGTGATCTGTGCATTCCTGGGTACTGATTCCTTCTGGCATGTGTGATTGTCTCCCCCGTTTCAACAATTTCCAGAATATTTTAGGGTTTTATCTTGAATCAATTAGTTTTTGTTTCTGTTCATCCTGGTAGGATTATATTTTGATAATAAATGCTTTCTTGAAT